GGGCACGAGGGGACGAGGGCACGAGGGGACGAGGGCACGAGGGGACGAGGGCACGAGGGGACGAGGGCACGAGGGCAGGAGGGCACGAGGGGAAGGCAGAGGCGAGTTCGGACTGGGGAGTCCGATCCCATCGGAATCCTCCTCGCATTCCACTCCGACCGAACCGAACCGATCCGGTCGGAAGCGAAGGAATCCGAAGCTGACGCGATCTTTCGGGCACGAGTCCGACCGAGTCCGATCCGATCCGCGGTCGTCGGGAACGATCGTGAATCTCTCGCGAACCGGCAAGTCCGCGGAGCGTCGGAACGATACGGAAAGTTCGGAATCGTGCGTTTTTTTTTTTCGCGAGTTCATTTTGCTGCGCGTCGTCGTCGTCTCGCATGGAGACGGCACGCGACGAGGGAGTCGAAAGACCACAAAGCACGGAGAGATCCGAGACAACAAAATTTTTTTTAAAAGTCCGGATGGTGGAGAGAGTCGGGCAGGAAGTCTGTCTTCCGGAAAATCTATTCTCCGGACGCGGAATCCTCATCCGTGGAAGCCAGAACCAGCCGAATTCTTTTCTCGGTGCGCGATCGGCAAGCGAGCGATATTTCTCATCGCTTTTGGCTCGTCTCAAAATTTGCGTGCAGATCCATAGGATGGTTCCGGATCTTCCCGAATTTTTTCCATCGAGTGAATCCGACCGTATCCGATTCGCAGGAACGGTTTCACGACCGAGACCGACCGGTCTCGGTCGGTCATTTGACATTTTCACTAATGCTCTCCTGTCCTCCTGCCATTTGACATTTTCACTAATGCTCTCCTGTCTTCTTTCATCCTTTTAGTAGGCTCACTTCATGCAGGGATCATCCAGTTTCGTCAAGAAACCAACAGGTACAACAGCTTCGTTCAATTTCTTCTCTTCCCATTGTCGAATTCATCTTTTTTTCATTCACGTCATTATTTTATTTCTTTTCCTAGTTCCAGAGAAAACGTCGAGATCAAGAGGACCTCCAGGAGCAGTCATCCCAAGAGGACCCCCCATATTCGCCGGACTGCACCTGTCTCCAGCAAGGTTTTGTAATTAATTTATTTTCAAGTCCAAATTTTGCCTTTTTTCATTTCTTAACGTTATTTTTTTAATAATGTTTAATTTTAAATTTCGAGCGACTGGGACTAGAGGCTGAAACCGGACGTAGGCCTCATATGTTTTGCGTTATTTTCATATTTTTTTTTAGTTTGTGTTCATGTTGTTTGTCGTTTTGTGTTTGTGTTTCCCTAGCTATTCTAATTTACTTTTTTCCTTGCAGTTGTTTCCCTTTCCCTTTTTACCCTTGACATTTTCAACTAATGCTCTCCTGTCTTCTTTCATCCATTTAGTAGGCTCACTTCATCCAGGGAACTTCCAGTTCGTCAAGAAAACAACAGGTACAGCAGCTTCGTTCAATTTCTTCTCTTCCCATTGTCGAATTCATCTTTTTTCATTCATATTATTATTTTTCTTTTTTTTAGTTCGAGAGATGGCGCGGCGTTCTACAGGACCTTCAGGAGGAGTCGGTCGACGAGGACCACTTGTCTGCGCTTGCCTGCCCCTATTTCAAGAAAGAAGGTATAATAATGCATTTTAATGTTCTATGGTACCTTTTTTGTTTTTGTGTTGCGATGTTTGTTTTAATGAATTTTTGTTATTTTGAGTAAATGGGGACAGAGGCAGAAATTGTAATTTTTAATTTAATATTCCTCGTGTATTGTTGCATTTGTTTTTCAGTTTGTGTTTATGTTGTGTCTGTCACCCTTTCATTTTCTTTGCTTGCATTCCTTTCTGCGTTATTTTCGCGTTTGTTGTATTTTATGTTAATGTGTTGTTGCCTTCCAGCACAGCATTTTTTGGCATTTTGCTGCCTGCTTTTTTAATTAATTTTTTTCTTCTCATGTTATTTCTTTTGCCATTTTCATTGCTAGGTTGCTTTCCCTTTTTGCGTTGTCTTATTATAATTTTTTTCTGACTCTCTATCCAAACCCATTTCTCTCTCTTCTACCCCTTTTCTCATGTAAAGTAAATTCCCTCTCACCTCCCATAACCCTCCTTCCTTTTTGGGGCCTTAATTCATTCCTTTTAAGATGTAAATTTAAAATGAATTTTATTAAACTCTGTTAATGCGCAACATTAAACCTAAACTGGTTAGACTTAATTTTTTTTGTAAAAGTGGACCTAAAATTAATTTGCCCCACACAACTAACCTACTTAAAGACAGGTTGCTTCTCATTAAATGTCCTATCTCTGTCATTAAAGATAAATAGATGTAAATGCTAAAACGTTAGATGGGAGGGACCCTGGTGTGACACCGTGTCGCACCTTAGTCATGGGACACCTTCCCATGGCTACGTCATTAGCTTCACCAGGGTTTTGCACTCTGCCTGCCAGCCCTGGTGGCGGGCGGGTCTCACCATGTTGGGCGGGTATACTTTGTGACGGTCCACCACATGGTGCGGGGCCCACCGAGCTTTTAGCTTCTATTTAATTTTTAAAATAATGATGATGTTGATGTTGTTGGTTCGATCTGCATACCCCACTCCCCCGGACCGGTGAGGTCCCAATGACCGACACCTACCGAACCCTTGAGGATGGCCGAATCGGGACCCCAAGACCTTATTGGCCGCTCATCCGGACCAGGAAACAAGAGAGGCGGAGAGAGAGAGAGAGGAGGTTCTTGCAGCAGACGTGGTGCATCCAATTTGGGGTGAGGGCTCCTGTGCTCACCAGTGCGGTGACCGTTGTGCGGCGCGGTGCGTAGGAAACTGCTTGGTGTCCATGTGTTCAACGTATGACGACCTGGGAAGTGAATCTCTCGGTGATCTCGCGCCGTTTGGTCTGGGGTTTGCTGACACGTGCCACAACCCCGCCACAACCCTGCCACGACCCTGCCACAACCCTTTTGGGACTCGGAAACACTGCCCTGTTGTGTCTGAGCATGTCTCGAGCGTGTGACTTTGTTTGGATTCTTTTGTAAATTAGTGCGATTGAATGTATCATGTGAATATGGAAGATTTTCATGGATTTGTATTTTTATTTTCATTGACATTTAATTTTCATCTGTTGTAATGCCCGAGGCACCTTCGGGGGCTCCTGAGAATGGGAATATATATTCATATTTACCACTGAATCCATGCTGACTTTTTGGCTCGACGCCCAATTTCGGATCTCTGAATGGTGCCGAGGCACTTCTTCGTCAAGTCCATCTTTTCAAAAAGAGGAATCGTAGGAGATAAAATCCTTCATTCTTTTGAATTTATTTTTTTTTTGTTCGTTTGATGGAGAACGAGAGATGGTCCGTAGACACCCATGCTAAAGAAAACTCGAATATTAAGAAACTTCTGCTTCGACTGAAGAATGATTTTCTCCAGATAAAAACGAATTTTCTCCCGTCCAGAAGGAAATGATTTTTTTTCCCCCTCTGGACGAGAAGCGTAAAAGGGCCGACCCTTATCTTCCTCGAACCCTCCACCTCGGTCATAGAGAACCGAGGATAGGACGCGTGCAGAATGTGCGTGACGGTGGGAATGTGAATGTCAGTGAATGCGCTTGTGGCGGAGGATGTGAACGTGGAAGATGCAAGCGAACCTATAGCACTTCGGTGCTCGCGCTGGCAGCTTTTTTTTTTGGCTTCCCTGGTTTCATTCTTTGATTTTACGAGGCTTCGAGAGGTCCATGCCCCGAGTACGGTTCGAGCTCGTACGCGTTCAACGCTTTCGCTGCGTCATTTATTTCGGTACGAAGCCGATGGCAATGCTTCGGGAAGCGATCGAAATCGTTTTTCGCAGCGTGAGGACGTTCGCCTCCACCCGACTGGGCTCTCGTTGGCGCGGCCGATCGGGCGTCTCGGGTCGAACGTCTTTCAGCACGTCGACGGCACGAGGTCTTCCGAGCGTATCGATGCCCGGAACGCCGCATCCGCTCCCCGCTCGCTCGCCCGACGCCTCCGTGTCTCCCTCCCCGAAGTACGCTTTCCCCCGGATGCCTCCCGGATCGCCTTCGATTCCGTGATCCTCGGACGGAACGCACGGAAACGACGACGCTCGCGATCTCAGATGAGATGATAAAACTGAAAGAAGGACTCCGATTGAATCGAGCCGTGCATAATTGCGCCCATTGTAGAGTAATATGGGGCGGAAAGTCATGAGAATCCCAAGAAATCACTAAATGAGATGTTCATTCCAATGGACGCTGGCTCTGAAAGGGTTAAAGGACAAAGTAGAAAGTATGACGATCGATCGGTACCAAGTGAGCTTGGTACTGACCAAAGTTCTGTTCAAAAATTTCCAAGAAGTTCTTTATGAAATGGAAAAGGAAACATAACTTTTTAAAATGTTATTTAAATGATAACCTAAACATTTGAGGGATTTTCACGAAGCAAATGGTTCCGATTTGAATCCCATTGCATTGACTTTCTTCCCACCCGACGAAAAAGGTCAAGAGACACCTGGGTTCTCTGTCAGACGGAAAGGGAGCGGTTGTTCCAAGTGTGGATTTTGGCACGATCTCGCTGAAATATTCTTGAGCAAAAAAAATTGTGGACGATGAAGTGATACCGTATACATTATCGACGAATGCTCCAAAGCAGATCGGCATTCTTAGAGGTACACGAACAGGTAATTGGATTCGATAAAATTCCCTTGAGGACATTATTCTATATATAGGGTGGTTGAAAGAAAAAAACGCTCAACCGTGTCCTATGGGAGAAACAGTTTCATAAATGCAACAAAAAAATATAAATTCGATACGCGATCGTTATTTGACAGTTACAATGTGTTGAATGCTTGCTATCTTTTTTTCAGCACCACTGCCTAAGTCGTACAATGCCCATATAGAGGTGACTTAAAGGTGACTTAGAGGTGACTTAAAGGTGCTTAGAGGTGGATCATTCAATCTCGAGTGAGGAGATGTGCTCGACCGTATAAGAATTCGATGACATTTTTTACTTTAATTTTTCAAGGAACTGTTGCATCGAGCTGATACTTGACGTGAGTTCATGTTCATTAGCTAGTTTTTTATTTTCACTTCCTCGATATGGCGCTATATCCGGATAGAGGGCGCTGTTGTTCACCGGGTGAACGAGGGCGACGAAAAAAAAAGGTCCACCGGTTCCAAAGGGGGAAAGTACGATCTGCGTATCCGAGTAAAAAATATGAGATTCATAAACTCTTAATGTTGAATATATAGGGGGTGTTGAAGAGATTGTCGAGTATCGCGAGTAAGCAACCTAAGGGTAATATGTCATACTAAATCAATCATTCACATGAAAAAGAAATCAATAATAAAACATTTTCCCCCCCCAAAAAAATAGGAAAATGAAGGAATTAAAAACCAAAGAAATATAACACATCAAGAGAAAGATAGATAAATATTTCAGACAAATAGACAAAATATTTATTTCATAATAGACAAAAATTTCGCCACCGAAAATGAGTCAACCTTGAACTTAAAAAAAAAAAACATACCAACATAATGAACTACTTGCCAATAGAAACAATCAGCACGCAAGGCCATATATAATCACGAAAACAATTTGTTGTCATCACAGTATTATAAGAAAAGTCAACCGATACCCTTTTACGAACTGGAACGAGTGCAAGACCTCAGGACTGAGGAACGGCAGGGATTACTACGCTTTCTCTCCGGCTGAATTTTTTTTTTTTCCATTAGGGAGTGAAACCGGAAAAATGACGATATCGTAATATTCTTTGCGTATCGGTTTTGAGGAAAACGGGAGAGTTACCATCCCGACTCGTACGAGATGTTGGATGCCTCGCGAGTGGAAATTCTCAAGTATTAGTGAAATATATTTTACTGCCGAATCCTTTCGAGCGAACGTGCAAAAAGATGGGATTGTGAAGCAAGGGGCATGAAAAAAATTTTTTTTTTAAGGAAGTAGTGAGACAGCAGTGTGCTGGCGCCTCGCATCTCCCATGCACGGGAAGAGAAGTCGAGACAGGGAACAAAAAAAAAAAAAAAAAAAATGAGTGAGAGGGAAANAAAAAAAAAAAAAAAAAAAAAAAAAAAAATGAGTGAGAGGGAAAGAAGGATCGTACAGTATGCTGGCCATTTGAGGCACAACTGGGGAAAAATGCTACCATTCCTACCTGATCCCACCGGTTCGCCTGGAAAGGCGAAGTAGGTGTTTATGTGGTTATTCCATCACTCCATCGACTCTGAGGAAAGAAATCTCGTGATCGTAGACGGTGAAAGAGGCATGCGGGAGAAACGCGGTCGATCGCTGCATGATACTTCAACATGGCCTCAGCCAAATCGGGTCGGAGGAGACTCGACACATTCGCGCACGATTCGGCAGCCGATTTTCATAGTCCTTTCGAAATATATCGTCCTCGTTTTGAGGACACTCGGTCCAAAGGGTCCAACTAATTCCTCATTAGGTCCTTTTTCCAAGTCTCGGAGATGCAAAATATCTTGACGGATGAGGATGGCATATTCCCGGCTTTCATTTCGGCCTCTCACGCCTTCCGTCGTCCGTCCATCGTTCCTCCCTCCGTGAAAATATCAGAAAGTGCCTTCGTTCCTTGGGAGAGAATGAGGGGAGGAAATATTTAAAGCCCCTCTGTCTATTAATTTGTATGCATTTTGATTCTTTGAGCTCTCCCTTCGTCGCGTAGGATGATTTGGATTCCTCATAAAGTTTTATGACCTGATTCATTCATTCGTGTGAATTTTTGTTTCCTGTCTTCATTTTAATGCCCCCAAAATGAAGAACCGTGCCGAAAGACATTCATCCGCAAGCGTGTTTTCATAAGGAATGTCATCAGGAGAGAGAGGAGACATGTCGGGGGCGAGCGGCGACGTGCCGAGAGGACTCTCAGGGAAGCGAAAGCGGAGCCTTTGATGGAAAAAAAGGCGTCATAGGTACAAGGAAAAAAAATGAAAAACCGATAGGCGCCAGTTGAAGTCGCGTCGGTCCTCTTCCCCCTTTTCACTCACACAAACACGCACAATCACGAGCACGCACAAGTCTGTGCGAAGCGGGAGGGAAGTCAAAGAGGGAAGAGCTGCGCGCGAGCATTCAAGTTTTCATGCAAATCGGCAATTAAAGCCTCGCATTCTCTATCCCTTCGGAGACAGTAAGCAATCTCGGTGTCATTGGATCCGTGAAACATCCCTCTATGGGATAGGCAGAAAACATCCTGCATTCTTGGCCGGTGAGAAGAGAAAATCGACCAGGAATGGAAGAAATGACCTAAATTGTCAGAGGCCGCAAGAAAAATCGATAGGCTTCTAGGATAGTGGACGGATTCTCATGAAAATATATATTAAGCTAGCCAAGAGGCTTTTAAAGAGATCTACCAGAGGAATTTTTGAAATTCAGCCTCGTTTTCGAGTATCGTCCGTTAATGTTGCGCCCCTTCCAAAAAAGTGTTTTTTATTTTTTTTTTCAGGCGGATCACTGAACACAGGGGGAACGGTAGGAGGAAACCATGCGCAACTCCGCAGAAAGGTGGACCATATTAGCCTCCAAAAACTGGAGAATGCTTTTGCTGATAGAAAATTTCTACGAGGAATGAGAACGAAAAAACATAATCCGAAAACCGAAGAATTCTCAGTTACGGCGTCATGGCGTCTCGGGAACGACAGTTGCATACGAGTATTTATTTTTTCCATATAGCGCTGTATGTCTCAAGGAGAATAGTGCAAATTTGACGTTTCTACGACCGAGGGTTGGGGGGTTGGAGATTTTCAAAGAGAAGCATGCAAATTTTGACCTTTGATCACATATCATGGCCCCGGGGGTGACCAGAGAGAGCCAGCAATCGGCTCCATGGCCCTTTATTGATGTCCCTTACAACAATTATAGAGCGGAATTTTGATCTAGGGGGTCGATTTTTATGTTCCCGTAGTACCTTAATTTCCAATACCCAGAATGTAAAACCCCCATGAAATGTTTGCCATACGCTCAAGAGAAAGAAAAAATGGTTGCAGGAATCCTCAGTTTCCGCAGGCGCGAGAATAGAAAAATGGTGTAATCAGTTTCCAATCGATTGGAAGAATTGCTCTCTGAATCTTAAAGAACAATGATGGTGATGAGGAAGTAGCCTCTCTCCGAGGAAACTTCAGGAACAAGTGAAGGAAAGCCCGTTATTAGAGAAATCGCTGTTGGTCATGGATGTAGGTGCAGATGTTGACCCCAATGTTTTGAGCCACCAAGTCCTTCTGTGGAATTGTGAATGAGAAGAAACGCAAAGCAAGAGATGAAATAGGAATTAATCCTAACGAACAGTCAGAACTGCCTGAAGAAATAGGGAGTGATATACGTTCGTGGATATCTTGAGAAAGAAGTGAAAAGTGCTGTCGTCATCAGGATTAAGAAAGAAAAATACCTCTCAATCGTGTTTTACACTACTCTAGATGTGTCTCACGTTGAGCAAAATTGAGGTAATTAGATACGTTAAGGTCAGAAAAGAAGGATGCTTCAATCAGGTCGCCTAGGTTTTGTAATCGTCCATGAAAAAACGGGAGAAGCTCTTAGTCACAGTATCATCAAGAATTTAAAAGACGATGGCCTCAATTTGACAGATTGTTGGGGCCAAAGTAATGACAACGGAAGCAACATGGCCGGGAAGTGCAGGGGTATACAGGCAGTGATTTAAGGGGGAAATTCCCTTGCTTGCAATTCCTCGTGCAGCACACACACTCTGAATCAAAGAATTCCATGCGGCCAATGCCAACTTTCAATATATTGTTACGGAGGGGAAATGGGGAGACGGACGGCATGAGAGGACGAAAGAAGCCAAGGAACGGCCGGGAATTGAAGCCGGGCTTCCTGATTGCCGGTCAGGTGTGCAATCACTACACCACCGAACCCGGGACATTCAGTCGTGGCTCTCGATGCCATCCTCATCCGTCACATTACTCCCTCTCGTAACTAGTCTGGTCCTCCAGACTTCACCGTTGCCGGAATTCTCCCTCGGCCGGTCAACATCACCCAGTCTCTCGGAGGTGTGGGCCGATCCCACCGCTGCCACCAAATGTTACGGTGGGGAAATGGGGAGACGGACGACGGAAGGCATGAGAGGACGAAAGAAGCCAAGAACGGCCGGGAATTGAACCCGGGCCTCCTGATTGCCGGTCAGGTCTGCTACCACTACACCCCGGACATCCAGTCGAGCCTCTCAATGCCATCCTCATCCGTCACGATATGTTTGACGGACTGGTTGAGCGTCTTTATGTCGTCATTTCCGGGTATATAACTTCTAAGGCAGACCTTGAAAATGATGTACTCGATGTACTTTATCTACGGCACATGATGTATCAAGTACCAAATCACTGACTCGGCTTTCCTTATGCGAGCAGACCACCTTATTATTTCAACCCATTTTCTCCCCTGCAGTCCCGGACAATATGCCGTTCATTATTTTTTCTCAGCAATCAACTGCGAACTTTCAGTTAGAGCGAGAAACTAAAAGTTTCCAAGCATCATGTATATAAAACAGCAACATTCCAAAGGTATTGCAAATACAAAGGTGAATAAGCTACCATACGAGGGGCGATCCAAAAGTTTATTCCCTGATGTAGGAATGATCGCAGAGAGCTGAAATTTGGTTCCCATATTCATTCATCCTTTTCAGCAATTTCGATTGGTTTTAGGTGCAAATGTAATTTTAATAATAATTTGCCTATAAGGCACGTTTCAGTCACAAAAAATTGCTATTTATTCAAAATGCTATAACTTGAAATTTATACTTTTAATTTGTCTTTAGTGTTTAATCAATCATATAATTAACAAATTAATTGATAATTGATTAATGAATTCATATAATCCTCCCGATAAAACAGCTCATTCAATAATAATTGTAAGCAAAACTTCCTCTGAAGCGACAGTCAAGGTGAAACTGACAATGGTGTCTCTTCAGTGAAGCCATTTCAGCATTTTTAGTTGACTGTGGAAAATGAAAATTTCCCAATAAGTTTGAAGCACTGTTCGAACAATCGGACCAGCATTTGTGTCCAGGGGGGGTAATGCTGAAAAATAAAATTTGTTGAAACAGTCTGCCACATTCTCTTATACCCCAGGTGAGGATGCGGGGATGCAGACAATTCCAGTGGGCAGGAGCCAGTGGAATAGAAGATCTGTACCTGGATCGGTACTCCAGTTTTATTAGCAGCTCTAACTTTGTGAATCACTCAAGGAGGTACAATAAACCTTTTCACTTCTCAGGTTTCTTATTCGTTGAATCAAATTAGGCCATGTCGGTATAATCATGACTTCACATTCCCGAACGAGAAATTGATTTTTAAGTTTCCTTAGAAACTTCAAAACGTGCAGCAAAGCTTTCTCTATTCACTTTACTACTTACCTAGCCAGTAGCACTGTCGTTTTAGGAAAAAATGTCATTCCACTATCTCTAATTAAAAATGTATTGCGTTTTGTATCCCTATCATCCGAAGACTCAGTCCCAATCAAATCCATACCTAAATTGTAAATGGAGAGGAAATAAAGGAATGGATAATTGTTTAGGGGGGAGGGGAAAAGGGTAGTTGGCATGTGAGAGTGACATTGCATCATACCAGCCCTCTTGCTTCAAACTCCAATGAAGCTTGCAAATAAGACATATAAGTTTGTTTCCACAACAACAGGGCAACTTATAATCCCATCCGTCCGTTTCAAGCTGTCAAATCCTCTTGCAACCCTCGCAATGTCGTCTATACCCAAGCAGCATGTTCACGTAAACACGATATCAATTTCTTGCAAACAATGTAAATTTCTTGCGATTGCCATGAAAATGACATCACGTTTACGTAAAATTTATGTTCCTATATTTACGTCACCAAAGTGTACGTGTATTTTACATCAACTAGACGTCACTCCATCTGACGTGAAGTACATGATATCAGGTTTATGAAAAATTAACATCACACCATCCATATGAAACTTTAGCTGACCATCCTGCAGTTGCAGTACCAAGATTCCTCACTAGATGGAACCCTTGTTCCCTGCATCCTATAATTACTATTAAGTACTGGTTTTCCTGATATAGTACCAGGTTTTATTACCATCCTTTTACTTTTTATTATGCAATCCATGAATATATATATGGAAAACATGAAATTATAATATATTTTTTATAATATATGACTCAGGGAATCATTAAATGCTGAAGTTAAGATTTTTATTACAGCAGTGCACGGAATTAGGGAAGAGTAGAATCCCAACCCCACAAGTACTACATCTTCTCTATCCTAAAAGGAAGAGAGCTCCCTTGAACATCTACTCCTCCTCCCGAGGTTCCAGTACGGGAGGAGGAAGCAGTAGGTCACTTTGGTACTCTTGAGTGCTGGTGAGAATGAGTACTCGTGTACTCGTCCAACCACCCTAGAGTTCTGAAGAACGTAAAGGAAGAGGAGGTTCGGTATATCAATGGGACTGATTGACTCTTTAAATACGCATGAATGCCAGGCGAAAATTAACATAAATCTTACGCAAAATGAATGTAAACATGCTGTTTGGAATGCAAACGGGAATGTCAATTTTACGTCAAATTTACGTTAATTTTATATCACCGTTTACGTATCACAGAGGTGACATTTCTGCAAACATGTTGACATTTTCTTGACAATGGTTTGCGTAAAAATGATATAAAACGGACAAAAACTTTGCATTCATTTTACATAAAATTAACATAAACATGCTGTTTGGGTAATTATCGCCCAACAGGAACGGGCGAAGAACGATTTTTAATATGCTTGGTGCGGTTTATTTCACCGGAGTATACAGTTCTTGAATAATCAGAACCCACAGGCACGCATTGAGGGGATGTATCCAGTAATTGGGGATTAGCACGCAGAGAAAATGGCGAAGAATGCATGACGTCATGCAATGAAAGATAATTGTGTGACATATTTGCAATTATTGATTTAATTTCCTTGTTCAGCCATAGTTACCATATACTTTCAATCGCGAATGGTCTAACTAGAACCGACAGAGTGCTTCCGTGAGTAAATATGAGAACCCAATGGGAAACAAGTGTGAGACGCTTTACGCAAGAGAACACAAATATTAACATGACCCCAACAAAACCCGCCAATACATTAGAGACGATCAGAGAAGGCAGAGTCAAGTGCAGCTCTCTGGATTTCCTTGAAGGAAGGACAATTATAGACTGGTGGATCTCCCAAGAGGTACTCTCCTTTTGGGATGAACTTCTCTCTGGACACTTCTTCAGGACCCACGTCTCTCCCTGCCAGGTCGATCAGAAGCAAAGAAAGTCCCATGTTTCTGGGATTGTTACGAATCATGAATTGTGGCCACTCGCTCATGAAGGCTCATCAACTCACACACGAGAAAGGCTCGTCGTTTCGGTACCAAGGTATCAGGACGTGGCTTCCTCCAACCGTACGAAAAGATGTCCACGATCCACTCCAGCATCTCCAGAACGGAGATGAAAGACATCCCAGTGTAGAGGCCTAGCAACCCTCCGAGCGTTCCGATGAAACTTGACCACTATCGAGGAAAGGGAGGGACTTGATTTCCAGACGCAATTTCTGTGTGAGGCCGAAGGAAACCGTAGGAATTTCTTGACTCACTGGGTATAACTGAATCTCCGTGGTTTTCTCCACTGACATAGTGTCGAATTTGACGTGCACCACAGATATCTGTTCACTGAAGAAACATGTGAATGAGCAAACGGTTCCACCTCTATTTCTGAGAAATGGAGCTGGATTTTTTAGCTTCTGTTAGAGCCGCATAATCCACTCAAAGGAGATTTAGCTGACTCCGTAAGTATGGAAAGCAAGTATTTCGTCATTTTCAATTTCTTGATATTCATGTCATGCTCTATCAAATGAAATAAATTATTATATTTTAATTTCTCCAATCGTTTTTATAAAAGAACAATCCCAGCTTAGAACTGAAAAAAAGGCTATTTTTCCAGGTCATGGTTTTTCCACCTTCGGCATTTCTCATATTTTAAATGAAAGTAGGGTAGTGTGGGGCTAATCGGTCACGATTTTTCGTTTTTCTTACTCCACAATCAATTATAATTATAAGAAATAATAACATAGAAAAACTTTGGAACCTCAAACGGCCATGTCATTTAACTACTTATTCAGCCCAAAACGAAATCTGGAATATTGATAAGTTAGCTTAGAGAATTAAGAAATTAACATGTGGTCGGCATGACCGATTAGCCTCAGGGCGTGGGGCTTTTCGGTCACCTGTATTCCGTGCCAATGTTTGCTTTATTGCTCGATTCCTGCGGCTGACAGGTAAAAGAAAAAACACTTCACAAAGCACGAGTAGGCCTATCGGGACCGAATAGGCCCAAACAGTGGCGTGTTTTGGCTGAAGTGTCCAGGGGGCAAGGCAACAGAGCCGGGGCGCCAAACTCCACCCGAGTGATATCAGGTGAGAGAACAGATCCTGGCGCCACCTTGGAGGAAATATTTTATGGGAAACAAGGAGGGACGGCTGCCCTCCCTGCCCCCCTGTAAAATACGTCACTGGGCCCAACCCACCCTATTAAATGAATTGCCACTGAAACAGCAAAGCCTCGATATTCGGCACAAAGGAAAGCAAATGTCGTTTTTCTCTCCTTCAATCCCTTGATCCCTCCAAGCTATCAATATGATGCTCGATTTGCTAGATGAGCTTGTTAAGAGTCTCCTTTTTGGGCGGCTTGCGAACGATATTCGTCTTCTTGCTTCGCTGGGCGTCAAGCAAATCAAGCAAAAAGGGTGGGAAATATTTGTAGAATGCAGCAGCTCATGCTTCTAGCGTCAACGTGAAGATAATAAAAGAAATCAAAGAAGGGGTTTTGGAGGATTTCCGTTTCCATAATTTTCTGGGAAATGACGAAATTTGTCATATCAAATTCAGTATGAATGATAGAAGTGCCAAAGGGGAGTAAGACATAGGCAAAATTGTGTAGTTTATGAAAATACATTTAAATCCATATGGGATGCACATTTCACTGACAAAAAAATTATGTACTTTCAATATGGCGGTAAATTATTTTCAGAAAACTATATTCATTAGTTTAGGAGATACAGCAAATTGAACGTGGGGAAAACGGATTTTGCAAATCGCCCGTTTTAGAGCCTTTCACTTATGGATTTCTTTCACAGGAACTATTGCAGATGCAGAAGTAAATAAGCTACTATATTTCATCTCTCGGGCGGGAGGATAACATATATATTTGAAAAAAAGCAAAAACAATGACCTGACAGGCCGTGCCTGATTTGAAATTGAACCACCCGATTCATTTTCTGTTTGCCTAAAATCGAGGTTTTGCTGTATTGCGTTCAAATTAGTTACAATTTTGAAAATTATAGGGTGGTATGGGGCTTTTCGGTCCCGATAGGCCTACCCGTGCTTTGGGAAGTGTTTTTCTTTTACCTGTCAGCCCCTGGAATCGAGTAGTAAAGGAAACACTGGCACGGAGCAAAGGTGACCGAATAGCCCCACCCCTGGGGCTAATCGGTCACGCCGACCACATGGTAATTTCTTAATTCTCTAAGCTAATATATCAATATTCCAGATTTCGTTTTGGGCTTAATAAGTTGTTGAGTGACATGACCGTTTGAGGTTCCATAGGTTTTTCTGTCTTATTATTTCTTATGATTATAATTGATTGTGGAGTAAGAAAAACGAAAAATCGTGACCAATTATTTTAGCCCCACACTTCCCAATACAAAAAGAAGAGACCCACCATTATTCGGAAACAAAACCTTTGCGTCAGTACAACAGTATGTAATACCGCATTTATATGAAAGTACTACTGTTCAGAAAGCGTTGCAGGAATATTCCTTTGTGAGGTTTGCAAAGTCATGTTACTTGGGCTCTTGTATCACGTTTCCTGGGTGCTTGTTACGCCATTTTCGCGACTAATTTCCAGGAAATTTTGCAGGAAAATTTGAATGAAATACACCGATGGCTAATTGGCCGATTTGAAATTCATCTCAAATTGTCAGAAGATGTGCACAACTAAATATTGAATAACGCTTAACAATACCCAATGAGTAGAAATATGTATGTTTTGGAACCCATTGCAGCTCAAACGCTGAAGAGATTACTGAAGAGATTCATCATCCACAGCTTTAGCAAGCATTATTACTTCATATTCGGGTATTCTGTTGGTGTTAATAACGCAGCTGATGTAATTCATCCATACAGTGTGTTATACGATAAGGACAACCCATGCGAAAAAAAATCTTAAACTATTCTATGTTTGAAACTTGAATATTTTAGGATTCTTACAATGATCTCATCGGAACCCCATATGAACTGGTAGGTTTAGTATTAGACGCTATGAGATTCCTATATGGAATCTTATTTTTTAAATCCGATAATAGTTTTGTTTAATGAAGCTTGTAAGATCCCATAGGACCTATTCCTAGAGACAATTTCAATATTCGAAATATTCACACCTCAAGCAAATCATATGATTCGTATGTAGAACATTTATACGCGAAGATAATTCAAAGATATCCATTGACGAAACACGAAATTTCGAAGTGAAGCATCTACATTCGCACATATTTCACGTTTTCAAGGAAAATACTAAAGTAATATGCAAACTTGGGACGATGGCAGAAGGTCGAGTTTTGTAATTCCTCTATTCTCCTTGTAGTCTTCCTCGTCCAAGCCGCCAACTTCATGAGCAAACTGTCGTGACGACCCATCTGCGACAACGAGAAGGACCGCTCCAATCTCTGGTCTCTAAATCCCAGCGAGCATCGTTTCACTTTCGTATCTTCGAAGATCGAGGATGGATACAGAGTGATGCTCACATGCAGCGTTGAGGACAACCGCAGGAACTTTCGGCTTGTGACTCCATCCATATAATGTGGTCTTGGAATGCCTCGATTGCAGATGGTAGTTCTGAATCTGCGTTGTTAAAACAAAACTCGAGTGAAGGGCTTGAAGTTATGAGCTTCAATCGCTTCACTCGAGTTTGGTAAATAAAGAAATCAACACATTGAAGCCGTTTTTCGATCGCTTTCTCAAATGAACCCAGAAGACAAATAGGTCCCAAGCCGTGTGAATAAATTAAGTATCATGTCAAAATCCTCACCCAAATAGCATTTCCCTTTAGGAACCTCGTACACAATTTCCTCGTAATACGATCGGTTCATGCAACGGGAGAGCTTGGAGTCGAGCATCAATTGAGAGGCAACGCAAAATTTCAGACACTCCTGTTCGATGAAAAAGGAATTACAATGAGGCAACCCACTTCGACAGATGAGAAATCCATTATAGGTATTGGTCTTTACCTCCACGGAATATACGGTTTCATTTGGAACCTTATATATCTTCGGGTCGAATCTTTGTAGGATGTAGGAATCAGTGGCGCAATTCCCCCCACGGTCTGGAGAAATTCGTTCGAATTCCACCATCTTGAGGCCTACATAGGAAACCGTTCCCGGGTTTATGTTGAATCCTTCCTCGATCGTATAGGGAACATCTTGGGGGTTCCGAACGAAGAGCTTGTGTCCCATCGCAGAAGAAAATCCGCCCAATTTTTCCAGGAAATACGGTGCCAGCGCGAGTCGAAGCCCTTGCTGCTCGATTTGAAAAAATACCACTTCGATTTCCTCGGTTTGATCGAAGAAGGTTTTACTAGTTTAGGTTTGATTGGTCTGGGTTTGATCGTCTTACCCCACTGGGCTTGTTATTTCCAATTGCAGGACGTGATTTCTGACGCATTCCTTTTTTGTCACCGCGGTAGTTGAATGTGAGGCATTCCCCAAGCCCTTCTTCTACCGAGCGCTTGAAATCGCTAAACAAAAAGGTACTGAATAATATAATAGTTGTTTCAGGTTAAACAGTTAATATTGCCCTCGAACCTTTCAGCAGCTACAAATGATGAAATCATGCCGGTATTTACAAGAAATATCGATCTCCCGGATCAGCTCTTAAGAAACTAGAAAATACATTCATGGCACTTCAGAGAAACATGATAAATTTGCTAGACACCATCAAAGACGTAAGTCTTCCCGTTATGAAAGTGAAAATGGATTATTGCAACTGGAATACCGTTAGGGTAATACATTTTCCATCACTCTACGACTTTGCTAAAAGGACTTCTTATTTGGAAAACTGAAACAAGTGTTTGGCAGGTCTTTTTCCATATGTTGTCTGACCTGAAGAAGCCGTACTAATTAGGAAAGTAATTAGTTATTCTGGAGCAAAAATCTTCTCTGCGCCTTTAACGTCTGGGAGCATTAGTGACGGTTACAATTAGTTTCCCATTCGATGTGGAATCATCCTCACGTGTGGTTGCAGGGCTCGTCGTTGAAGCTGCAATGGAGTATTCTAGGTTCCACATTTTCCATAAGCAGGAAGGGGTTCAAAAGGTATTTGTTTGAATAAAAATCCCTCTCCAAGAGGGTGATGCAGGCATTCCATGTCACCGGTATAGGTGCTGAGAAATAAAAAGCTCAGAATTGTGAATTCGGTTTTTAACGAGTCCAACTTTTTCATTCACGTGCAAGCGTTAATGCCATTGCGTCATGATGAGACTAGGCTAAAGCTCTCTTGCAAATTCTATCTTACATTACAGCCACCTTGCATTCAGTAATCTTTAGTAAAATGGAGTGGAGAAGAACTCTACGAGAGTCGTTACCTTTCCTGAGAATTTTCAATGATATATCTCATTCATTGTTTTTTTTTCTGCAATTTCTTTATAATCTTTCTTACAATTATTTTCCTCTGCAGAACTAATATACATCATTTTTTCAGTGCTTGCTGTCACCTCTTTTGTTGCGAGAACAAATCCTGAAATTTTCATCATTTTCCGTTCATTCTTTCACTAGAGAACACAAAATGCAAGATAGTTTGAGCTCTGGTCTGATGAGCCGTGCGGGCGAATATGCGATATCCCCGAAACTTGAAGTATGCAGCTGTTTACTTTCTTTGAAGGGCGAAACGCAGACTTTCTTCGGTTCGTCCATGACTTTTACGCCATCCACTTCATAGAGACTAGGGCGGAAATTTCCTTTCGCCGGTTGGTAGATTTCTTCTGAATCTAACAGTTCTCTAAAGCTCACGTTGAGTTCCTTCTTCTGCAGGAGACTTTCCATCGGGCTGAAGAGCCCTGAAACATCGAAGGGCATGACCCCATACCTTTCAAAAAAATTCTGAGGGCAGATGATGATGGCCGGAAAGGGAATCATTTCTCGAGGCTCCATCTGAATGGTAAACGGCATATTTATCGGTGACGTCGGACTCGACGATGAAACGACGGACGAGAAGCATCGAGGTCGTCCCACCTGGGTGGCGGTTGTTGTTAGGCCTGACGTGTATGCATTGACGATCTCGATGATTCCGTAGGACATGTAGCCAGAGATGGTGAGAAATACGAGGAGCCAGAATAGTTTCCTGGAGAAAGATGAATCCCGGTACGTAGAACGGCCCAGGGCCTGGATGGAGATACCAACATGTTAAGAGTGCTTTTTTGAAGGGTTCATTTTCAATTTGTATATGTTCCATATGAATATGTTCATTTCCTGTTCGAATTCTTCCCTGTACTCAAAACAAAAGCATATAATGGAACGAGGTCCTTTACCATTCACAAGCGAATTACGTTTCTTCGAAATTGCTTAAAATGTTAAATCATATTCGTGAAGGATATACTGTAAAGGAGGTTCTATTCTATATATTTTGTTATCATACTGCAGCAAACAACGAGACGAAAGTGTTGTGCAAAAACAGGAATCAGCCTAATAAGTTATGTGGACCATATGCTCGTTGTTTTAAATGCATATGACGTTTGTCAACATGCCACGATAGACTTTCCTCACAACTTCCATAAAAGTTTATTATCGAGGGCAAGGATTATCTGGGTTTAGCAACAATGCGGGACAGATTTCAGAACGATATGTTTCCACAATCGATGAACATATTTGCGTATTCCAAAGACACTCGCAAACTTGGGAGTTTCTCGGAGGATATGCTGAGATCGGGAGATCGAGGGGGGGCATTCCATGATTCCAATTCAGGAAATCTGGTTTTTCTGAAAAAAAAATGCTACCGTACAAACGTCTTGTCCCGGTCCACTGATCAATTAATGGCTATCGGAAAGAACGAGTGTTACGAAACACGAAATTGGGTCGGTGAGTGCAAAAAAGTATTGTAGTACGATTCAAAATTAGTCCTGTGATCTTTTTTCAACAGAAACGTGTCATCGTTTCTTGGATATAATCTTTCTTGGAAAGAATAGGACAACACGACAGGAAAGGCTCGTTTTGAAATTAGAGCCTTTTCGGCGGGTTCATGGTTCTTTTTATCCAAGAACTGGGTGCAGATCGTGAAGGAGGAATGGTTAAATGTTAAACTACATTTTTGCTTCAATTGCACCGGCAACGTTGCGGATGCGTCATTCATTCGTGCAGTACTCAATGGAGTCCCTCGTGGAGTAGTGTCTGTGGGATGGGCTCTCACCTGAAATAGCATTTGGATGAAGTTCGTGTATTATGTTGATCTTGAAACGCGTTTTAAATAACGGCCTTCATCCTTGGGGGATGGAAAGTGATACATGTTTCTTCCCTTAAAGAATCAATCTGCCAACTGTCATTCGTGACAGCGTATTTGAGAAACACACCTCGCGATTGAGAGAATCTACGATTAAATCGTAAGAATTGTCTGCTTGAAGGATCTTATGTCTTACAGCATTCGCAATGAATTATCATACCAGTAGATAAATTCCAAATCGACGCCACTCACGTGTCCGGTGAATCTGTTGAGAAATCTGGTGGTTACAGGAATAAAGCCGACCGTTTCTGTCGCTTCGTCTTCGAACTGGATATCCGCTGGTCTTCCTCTCGCTCCATCGTCGATTCCCACTTTTGCTCCCATCGTCTCTTCTCCCCTTAAGGAAGCGAGATGCACTACTGAATTATAAAATATTCATCAAGTAGAGGACGGAAGAGGCTATGAGTAAAGGAAAAAAACGTCCGGGAAGCTGGAGCCTCGAAGAATGGACTGCTTTCGGGACTTTCGATTTCATGCACTCGATCTTCCAGTCTGCGCAGGCTTTTCACGAAGTCTCAAAGACCCTACTGTCCATCGATTTTGCTTCTCGGCACAGGAAAGACCCGATCCTTTTTCGCCGCCCGCTATCAGCAATTAATCATGTATCATCCGGAATTCTCGCTGAAATTCGTGACTTCCCAGTTGAGAAATTCATGAAATCAACGGAGACGGAAGTAAAGCCAAACATTTCAGGTATCTATTGCTCTGTCGGCGGATGAGGTTTATTCGCACATTATTTCAAGCATCAACCATAAAAAAGCCATTTGGATCATGATAAATATTCTCCTGTTTCTTGCCCGAGAGTTTCAGGCCTTAGGGCGACGACATCCTCGAACCTATGAGACTTAGCAATCTCATGCGGAAGCTAAACGAGTTGGAAGGTAAGAATGCCTGGAATGCTCAGCTCAAGTCTTGGAGACGTCAGCCCTATCAACCAGTATCAGTCTTTCGGTCGTGCTTCTTCCGCCAAGGCTCTTCCCTGCACCCGGGAGGCGATTCTACCAAGTCTACGAAGTCATCTCACCTCATCCTCATCGTCAATCGTGGATGACAATACTTGGGATGAAAGTTGACCCGATTTCGCCCATTGTCATTGTCTACAGTCACCTTTCCATCGCCACAACTTCAACTTGTATTAAGACAGGAATCAACGGGAAGACAAAGAAACCTTCTTTCGTAAGATGACGTAGAGTCGCTGCTCTCTTTCTCATAAGATCATGACGTTCCATGGTGGTGAATCCAACTTTAAGACCTGTTGAATTCTCGTGAATTTACTGCTTCGCAAATGTGATGCACATGAATTATGCTCATGCTCATAGATTCACTCCACTCATCTGTTGTAGCTTTCATGTGCCTTCGACAAAGAAAGCCTCTTTGTGCCGTTCGTTGCCTGCGTGTCAAGGATGTCAAGAAGCGCATCCATCAGCATCATACATTTATCATGAATAAAATAAAAATTATACGTCCAAGAAGACAGCCTTTCATCGCGAGACATCAAGGTCGTAGCGAAGAAGCAAAATGTGGCCAGAGACGTGAAGTCTCTGTGAAGTCATTTCATGTCAAGTTCCAATTGTTGCTCGTAAAAATTGATGACTATTTATTGACATTAATTTTGGATTCTGCCGAGAGGATTAAGAGCGGCCATAACGCACGCAGGACGTTTGGACTAAGAACATAAATATTCGCATCTGGTTATTCGTATTCGAGTTGCGAGTATACATTTGAATGTGGTTTCTTCGGTCATCGAACCGCTCGACAGTAAATCATACATTTCTAGTATAAGTTCCTCTGTCAACAGATTTTCTGTTTTCTTGCTTTGCATATTCTTTCAGGCTGCAAACATTAAAAACTCCCAATTTTACCCCGTCGACCGGCCCAGAGTTGGAAAGACTGGAACCTGTTTAACAATTTCAATAAAAATTACTTATCTCATTATACGAAGTCATTAGGCTTCATCGTCTTTATGAATTGAAAACGACAATCTCAAGGGAAGCGAACCCAGCCATGCTTCTTAACGACGAAAACGGTCGTCATCTGATCAATTCGACGGCCTTTATGCGAAAAGTGATAGACAATCGCTGCTTCGTTATCGATGAGATCTGGGTGTTCCAAGACGGTGACTTGAACTGTTTGATTATTATCCTGGTTCACAAATGTGTGCCTGTTGCAGAGACTCAAACGAATCTTGCTGCGAGGCATGAGGGCATAAAAGCGGCATTTCCACTCGGCTGTCGATTTGTTCCATGAACCTCTTAGTGCGTTGGACGATGTGAGCACGGCTTTCCCACGTGTCAAGGGTCGCTTCCAATATTATATACGTTAATCATGAATATTTATAACACAGTATAGAGGCATCATATCAAATATAAACTTCTCTCAAATTTCATTTAATATTGTTCGAAAATGCTTCATAATTAATGATAAATAATTGAGCGTGCCATGAAAATAAATGGCAGCCGCAATGCTCGATAGTCGTCACACTCACATTCGCATATGTTCACTTATATCGAATAAGGACACGGATTCTGAATCGGTTGGCTTCACCTAATGTTCCTGAGGATTCATAAGATGAATAAGGAGATGAATCGGTTAGAAAACAAATTTTAGGCAAGTGAGGCGAGTCAATCTGCCAAATCATGTCCGATACTGAGTGATCCGACACTTTCACTTATATGAAATATTAGATTCATAACGAGAACATCCCGTCACCTTTAACTCCAATGGCGAATGAGTGAATTGCGAGTACAAATTTATGTTTATTTACTCACATTTCCAGTTTCACGTCGAGCGATTTCTTTTTATTTTCACCCCTTTTAAGCATTTCAAATGATATCCTAAATTGGAACGGGACCGGTCTTCTTCTGAGGGATAAATGTGACACTTTTATGAAACCCAGAAGAAGCTTGATTCATCTGTTGGGTGACTTCAGAAAAGATCCTAGTAAAGGAATCAAGATGCAATGAATTGAGATAGGTACTTGGAACGAGCCGTTCACGAAAAAATTGTAATGAAGGATTTGGCAGGAGTTCACAAGCGTCAATCCAAAAGCCCCAAAACCGACCTATGTGAACTTACGAAGTAACGAAGAGTCACAAAAATCTCCGTGGTTCATGTGGGGGTGACCGCAGATTTTATTAACATAAGCAATGAAACGCGGCTCGAATTAATTAGAATGAGGAACTAATTCCCCATCAATCGAGGAGTACAGTAGCGGAAGTCCAGTTTCGAGATGAAGCAGAAACAGACGTTGATGGGACCCATACCGTCTATCAATATTTTTAGGTGAAAACAGGGCAATCCTCGGGATATGCATCATGGAAATATTATCGATGAGTCCACTTGTCAAAAGGTAATTTCCGTTTCTGTAGACACTGAGTTGTGAGACCCTGTGTGCACCATCCAGAATACTCGCTGTATTTTGTGACTACCCAGTTGAGAAACTAATGAAAAATAATTTTCCCAAACTAATTATTCACTCTATAAAGGAATTCATTGCGAAGGGCCATATTATCCCAATGGCCATATTCCTCTAAGTTAACCTATCGGTTGCTCTGTTGGCGGATTTTCTATAATACGGTTCATTCCCAGAATATTGCAAAAGCTTCAAGTAGTAAAAACTTCCCATTTGGATCCTAATAAATCATCCTTTGTTGATCGACTGAGAGTTTCAGACGTTAGGAGCAGACGTGTAGACGAGATGCTTGAACCTATGAAGCTCAGCAATCTCATGCGGAAGCTGAACAAGTTGGAAGGAATGAATGCATCAAATGCACAGCTCAAGCCTTGGGGACGTGAGCCCGATCAGTCAGTCTCAGTCTGTCTGTAGTACACCTTCCACGCAGCCTCTTCTCTGTGTCCCATAGATTCTACCGAATACGAAGTCATCAGGCCTCATCATCGATCGAGGATAATACTTGGGAAGAAGGTTGTCCCAATCTCGTCCTTGGTCACCATATGGAATTGTCACTCTTTCGCCCCAACGTCTCCTTCTCTCGAGACAGGAATCAATGGGAAGACAAAGAGGTCTTCTGCAGTAAGATTACGTAAACTCGCTGCTCTCTTTTTCGTAAGATCTTCCGATCCATGGTGGCGAATCCAACTATGAGACCTATTGAATTTTCATGGATTTCCTGTTTCGGAAATGTGTGGCTATTGCTGAAATTCAAGTTTGGCTTGTTGCAAAGCGTAAAGGCACAATGGCAGTTAATCCATGAGCTGATGAATACCCTTTAGATCGATTAACTCCACTCCGCCGTTGTGCCTTTCATGTGCCTTCGACAAAGAAAGCCTCTTTGTTCCGTTCTTTGCCCGCGTTTCAAGGGTGTCATGAAGTGCTTCAAGCAGCATCATATATTTATCATGAATGAAATAATAATTATAATACGTCGAAGAAGACAGCCTTTCATCGTGAGAAATTAAAGTTGTAGCGAAGAAGGAAAATGTGGCCAGAGATGTGAAGTCTCTGTGAAAACGAGTCATGTCAAGTTCCAGTTGTTGCTCGTAAAAATTCGTGACTATTTATTCACTTTTATTTTGGATTCTGCCGAAAGGATTAAGAGCGGAGACGTTCCAGATCAAATGGTCAAATTTTAGTCACATTCCTTAGACCTCAGACTCCGATTTGCTTGAAAAAATTAGAGCATGCTGGCAATAAAGATTTATGAAAAAATAAAAAATGTTGGTTCTTTGGTTCTAACGGATCCTGAGACTTGAGGCCCCAAACTTCGCCCCCAAGAGGAAAAGTGGCCTTAAAGCGCTATCTTTGGTCCTATTCGAGCTAGAGACGCGTTTTTGGACTCTAAAGCTGAGACCACGTGGAATCGCATCATTAAATGCATTTTCTACAGCGTTTATTAGAAATTGAGTTATGTAATTTCGAAAATGGTAAATATTACAGAATTTTCCACGCAAAATTTTTAGCACTAAGATGCATTATAACACCACGACCTTTCGTAATATTGTAGACTAAGGCAATGGCAATTTAAGAACTAAATTTCAACTTCCTACGTTTTTTGAAACAGCTAAAAATTGAATTTGAAAAGTCCAAAATTGCCAAATTTAACAGTTCGTACTTTCTGTTTTAAACATGGTATAAACTTGTAACCAGTGTCAAATGAAAGCTCTCCCCAAGCGATTTCCATTGATATATTACTCTTCTTATTACTTTTTTTACTTATTACTTATTTACGCAACAATTCAGCTTTAACTTTAACGCATGCATGCATGTACATTTATGAAGATTCAGACTTCAGCAGTTGTGATCCTTAAAAAAAATGTAAAATGACTGTAACCAAGTGTAATGTGACTGTTGCATATGTCATATGGCAGTGTTCATGCCAAGGATAAATATAAATATAAGGTCTTTCAACTTATGTACGACGATATTTGCCATACTGGGGCGGTCTAAAAGTATTTATAATTTGTTTCCTTTTTAACAACCATATATGCTACTCAACAGCCAACCATATTC